AGGGGCACATCCACAGAGAAGCAGGAGGAGGGGTGATAGGATAGGGGGTTCCTGGCGGGGGGATGGGGTAAGGGGATAACATATGAAATGTAAATAAAACATCTAATAAAAAATTAAAAAGAAAAGATTTTCTCCCCTTTAACTCTCACTCTCTCAAGATACCTCATCGCCGTTTGCATTTGAAGTGGACTCTTAGTGCTCTTTAAGCAACAAGGGTTTTATTTTGGAAAATTGAAAATTGTCAGCATTTGCCAGTGTTGGGTGTAATCCTTTGACGAGGTCTGCTTGCTGCATTCATCTTACCACTTCTTGCTCTGTGTCCTGCTGGGCTTAGCTGGCTTTTGTTCTCAACCTTCAGTGAGACTCCTTGGTCAAAGTCAGCAACCCTCTGTCTCCCTGCCCTTCCTGTCTTAGCCTCTGCTCCCCTCTTCCTCTTTTCAGATCTATACTTCAGTCTTCTGTTCTGTGGGTTATACCCTCCTTGGTTTTCCTTTTAACCTGGGTCTGTCTTGCAGTCTCTCCATCTTTTGCTCTGCATGGGTGCCATCGCCCTACTCCCTCATCCCCCACAATTGTGCTTGGTTCTCCTTATACCTCGTCTTTAGGGGATCCCGTTCACTCATGGTTGTAAAATCTCCTTTCTCTGTTGACTTCTCCCAACTCCAAATGCAGAACAACGGCTTATTTTACATTTCTACTTTGATGTCTGTGATGGTTTGTATATGCTTGGCCCAGGGGGTGGCACTATTAGAAGGTATGGCCCTGTTGGAGTAGGTGTGTCACTGTGGGTGTGGGCTTTAAGACCCTTATCCTAGCTGCCTGGAAGCCAGTATTCTGCTAGCAGCCTTCAGATGAAGACATAGAACTCTCAGCAACTCCTGCACCATGCCTGTCTGGATGCTGCCATGCTCCTGCCTTGATGACAATGGACTGCATCTCTGAACCTTAAGCCAGCCCCAATTAAATGTTGTCCTTGTAAGAGTTGCCTTGGTCATGGTGTCTGTTTACAGCAGTAAAATCCTAACTAAGACAATGTCGAAGAAGCATTTCAAACATAATACGGCTAAAAGTAACTCCCAATTTTCATTTTGTCTTACCTAAACCAGATGTTAGCAAATGATAAAATCTAGTTACCTAAACTATTGTAGGACCTATTCCTGATTCTTTCAGTGGTCCAGTCCCTGTCTATTTGTTACCATTTTGTTTCATGTAAGTTCTGCAGTTTAGCTTGCTTTCAGTCTCTGTTGCTGTGTCTTCTGTTCAGCTAAGTGCGATAATCTCCCAATCACATTGCTCGACCTCTAAAATTTGTCAACAAACAGTTCAATAACGTAAGTTCTTTGTTTGAAACCCTTTGGTAATTTCCTGTTTTCAATATACTATTAAGACTACTTCTAACAGCCTAAAAGGTCCCTACCATGATGGCCCTGATTCGAGACGGTTTGGTTGAACAAAGTTCTTGTTTACTCTGATGAGGATAGAGGGCACACTGAGGTGTGACTGTGTTTCAATATTAATTAGACATGTGATGCTCTTGTGACACTGGACAGAGGCAGTGAGGGGCAACTTCCGATTGGCTGCTGCCTCTGCCTCCTCCTCTTCCTCCTCCATCTCCTCTTCCTCCTCTTTCTCCACCTCCTGTTCTTCCTCCTCCTCCTCCCCTTCTTTCTCCCCCTCGTCCTCAGTATACTGGATTGTGTTCACTAGGTTCCATCTATTGATTGGGTCTCAAGCCCAGTACTTTGACTTTACCACGGGCTTAGCAGGATGTGATGTCATCCTCGTTAGTAGCACTTTCTTACCTCATTACATCACCGTGGTTTAAGTTGATTATACTGTGACCCACTAACTCCAGAACACACCAAGGCTTTTCTCCATTCTAAAGCCGTTCACTTCCTATTTCCTCTGTCTGGTTCCTACAGGGACTTTACTTACGGCTTTCTAAAGTCACGTGACTTTGCTGGGTTTCTGAACACAAAATGTGGCCCAGTACTTTGAGCACCTGGTTCCCTGCTGGAGTGCCATTTTGGGAGGTTGTAGAGCCTCTGGTATATAGGGCCTAGCTTGCTAATGTAGGCTTTCAGGGCCTTGAAAGTTACAGCCCAGCCTTGCTTCTGGTCCCATCTGTGCTTCCTAATTCCACAAGATTACAGTATTCTGTAGGCTTTCATGACCGCAGCTGCCAAGCTCAACCCTGCTTGATGCACTGATATCCTCTACAACTGTGAGCCAATCAAGCCTTTCTGTCAGGTCAAGAGAAGCAGGAGACCGTTACTTTTTGTAAAACCTTTTCTCATGGGATGCTTTGTATAGTGTAGCTCTTATACAATAGGATTGTTAGGTGAATGAATTGTCTCAGTGACTGTTGAGAAGCTCTCAGCACTGAAGATCCTTGCTGTTCAGTCTACAACACAAACTGTTTTATAAGTAATTTCTCTCCTTAGGAAACTCTTCAGTTCTTCAAGGCCAGAATCACAAGCCACGTCTAGGGTTCGTACACAGTTGTTTTCACTTTTTCTTTTTTTTCTCCTTCAAGATACTTCAATGTCTTGTTGGTTCCTTTGGCCAGAAGGGCCTTATCTGAGTGGGGTCCTCACCTGAGGACAGTGAAATCATCTCCTACCTCTGCACTTTACCTTGTGAGCTATGTGTCTGTGTGGATCTCAAAAAAAAAACACATTTCAACAAAACCCTAAAGCTTCTTTACTTTGTTCCTGTTAAAGAGAAGCATCTGTTGGACACTACAGTTTACAGAAACGTTTACCTGCTTCTTAAAAACCTCACACTGTTGAGGATTCGGGGTCATACTCAGTCTACAGATGAGGACAATTGATATAACAGCCCCGACTCCTTGATTCTAAATAGTGGGCTTTCTGCCACTACCTTCCCCAAGGCTCACGAGGGCCTCATTTCTTACCATGAACATTTCCTTTCCATTCTATTTCTCGGGAACAGAACAAGACCGTTCTTTTTTCATCCTTTACAGGGTTATCGTCAGGAAATTACAAATATGTTAGGTCTCAAATTTGGGACAAATGACTGAGGTCCGATTTAATTTAATTCCCTGAACATCTCTCAGTTTCTATGTGTTACAATGACGGCAGGCAAATCCCAGCCCTTTACCTAGAACTTTCCAGCTTAGGGGCTGGGCTTCCTTTCCTCCAGAGGCTCTTCCCTATTACCCAGCCATTTTGGTTAGCCACCTTTTTCTTTGTAACCTTTTGCCCTCTTGGCTGCTGCACCTGGTTCCCTTCCCCCTCTTCTCACACAGCTCTGGATCAAGTCCACTCACCCAGATGTCACTGTTTCTAGCTCTGCTCTCTCTCCTTTTTACCTACAATAAACTTTCTCCTCCACCATACCTAGGAGCAGTCAGTCACATTTTTTTTCTTTCGAAAGTCATCATAATGTGTAAGTCCTTGTAAGTATGAAGTAACACTGAAGGTATCAACAGCTTTGAACAACAAACCCACATTATTTAACTATTCGTAAAACGTTGCTGCCGTTGCTGCCTGTTGAAAACAGAGCAGCTATGGTCAAACCTACCTGATTAATTTAACGTCGGTTGATCTTGTTCAAGTTCTTATCTCTTTGATTGAAATAGGCACAGTAAAGAAACCAAATAGTCACTCCATGGGTGTATAAGAGAAAAGTTTATTCCAAACTGCTAAGGCCATTGCTTGGGGAAGCGGAGAGCTAATACTGAAGACTGAGCGAGAAATGGCAGAGCCTCTGTTATGAACGGTGAGAGCATTTCAAGAACACACCAATAGATAATTACCAACAGATAACTGGCCTAGGGCAGGAAATAGCTCTGGAAACCATTAAGCCAACCTATACCAAAAAAAAAAAAAAAAAAAAAA